ATCCAGCATTAATTACTATTTTAGACCGTTCTGTTACGTTTTATCGATTACTCGTTTCATGCACGATTTAATATATCTTTTTATGCAGCGTGTAAGAAAACGTTTACAACTTCTTAATTATTGATTATTTGATTATCATGATAAACTATCGTATACCTACGTAAAGTTATCAATTTTGTGTTTATAATTTTTTCAATTTATTTTGAATAACACCCCCCCCTCCCCTTAGAAATTTCTAGCTACGCACCTGAAGACTTACAAACACTACAGCTGTATAGTGCAAGTATAAACATTAAATTATATCATATATAGGTACGTATGGGCTTTTCAGTATGAAATTAAACGTTGTGCACGTTTTAAATTAGTTACATTGACACCGAGCCTTAGGGTCTTCTAGTTTCATTCGACTTGTATTATCTAGTCAACTGTTTTGTATAGATAATAACAAAACACCAATAAAAGATATTTCCGTGATCATAATAATGTATGGTCAAATTAAATTTACCGTTTCATTGTTCAGCCATTTCCTTTTGAAATACATAATAACTGACTACCTAATTTTATTTAAACTCCTAGCAAAACGTGTTAAACTGTTTTGTATATTTTTTACAGGTCAATATCATACGTCATAATATATATATAATATATGATATGATACATTATAATATTAAGTCATAATTATTATTATCATATTAATATTATTATTCATTTAATTTTGTACAAGCATAATGTTACAATAAATATGTATATTAATAAATAATATTATATTTTTCGTATTTTATTTGTTTGTTAAGATGTTATTTATACTTTGGTGTATTATAATAAGACCATAGTCTCCAGGGCCAAAGGACTGGCAAAAATAATTTAAGAATGAATTTCCTTTTAAATGACAAAACAAAAAAACATTAATACAGAAATACAATGCAAAAAGTAATTTAAAATTCCAACAACGACTAATAAACTTATTTATTTTTATCTATTTTTAAAGACTGATTTAATACTATACTATCCACTCGTGTATATCAGATAATATTATATAGGTATATAAATACAATTTATATTTTTAAATAATTTACGTTCAACAATTCTACATAT